GGTAACTCTCCTGAGAATTTACCACGAGCCAAAGTTATTTTGAGCATGGACTTAGAAACAGACACTTCCCAGTAAATGCCATCCAACTCAAATGTGACATTTTAACAGTTAAAATATCAACATAACAATCAATAAATACCTTTGTGAGATAGTGGGAAATCAAAAAATTTTAAGTTTACCCAAGTATTCATTCATTAAAACATGAGATGTCTAGTTTGTTCTAAATTCCCTAACATTTATGAATATTACAGAGAGAAGCAATGGAAAGGGAAAAATTTCCTGCATAGTTAATACAGAGAATTTGTTAAGACTAAAAAGCAATACAAAAAATTTAAAAGGCAAGCTAAATATTAGCTATACTCAGTCTTATACAGCATGTAACAACTTAGTAGTTAGTAGTACATGTTGAACATCCCTAATCTGAAAATCTGAAATTCAAAATGCTCCAAAAGCCAAAAGTATTTGAGTGACAACGTGACACAAGTAGGTAATTTCACACCTGACCTCATGTAACAGGTCACAGTCAAAATTAAGGCTACAAGGTATAAATGAAACACAAAGGAGTTGTGCTTAGACTTGGGTTCTGTCTTAAGAGATCTCATTATGTAAATGCAAATATTTTCTTTTTTTTTTTTTAAATCCCAAGTCCAAAATACTTCTGGTCCCAAGCATTTCAGGTAAGGAATACTCAAACTATAACACATTAATTTACATTATACATTTTATCTGAGGAAAAGACTTTCACTACAATGAGCGAGTAACGAAAAGATTCTAAAAGCATGAAATAAGCACTTATTATAAAAACAGACACCTAGGTGGACTAGCAGGTCCACCTATACCTCTAGTTTAGATCAGAAAGTAATTTAGTATTATAAAATCTTGTAATTTTAAACTTTGCACTAAGTCACCCTAGCCTTTTTAAAAACTGAATTTTGTTTTCTTGTAGGCTGAAGCGAAGTAATATTAAATGTCTTTCCTACTCCAGGATGTACAAGAGATAGCTACAATCACAAAATGAAAACATTATCTGTGATTATGATCTGTCCACAAAGCTATTTTAAAATTCCAAGCAAGAATGCAGTATCTACTTATTCAAAAAGTACTGAATATTCATAAATAAGCTGTAATTCTGGATACTGTAAGAATTTAAAAGCACCCACACATGTGCGTTTTAAGGCACTGAGTTCAAATATACAGTCTAGTGGAGGAAATAGATAATCATGGAAACTGTAATGTGATAATAAAATGTCATTAAACTTATACTGGAAGAAAACTTAGTTGTCCCTTTCCAAAACAATATATAAAATTCTAAATTTAAAAGTCTTGTTGACTTTCTTTAAAAAAAAAAAGGCATCCATCTTTCAAGAATAAAGAACTAAAAGTGAGCACAATGGTGTACAACTATAATCCCAGCTACAGGGGCGGCTGAAGCAGGAGGATCAAGTTTGAGGATAGCCTGGGCAACATAGCAAGAACCTATATCAAAAAACAAAACAAACAAGCAAAAAGAGCAAGAATAAAGAGATAAATAGAACCCTCACCTAAAAGTGACACTGTTTGCATATCATCTAGCACTTCCCTCTTTACATTCCAAAATTCTTACAAATTCAAAACAAAATGTGAAGACCAACCAATAATGGTAATTTAAACTAAATATTTATTAAAAATTTAGCACGGCCATTTAGGAAACCTTTGAAGTATGAGGGTAAAGAAATTAACTCAGTCTCCCAAATTAAAATAGCATAAAGAAGATCAGCTGTACGTGGTTCCTCAGGACATGGGAACTGACTCCAGAATTTGTGTCTTTTTATACTAGTGAGTGTAATCCAGCTCAATTAACTCACTGGTAGATAAAAGGTAAAAAGGTGGAAGGTTGAGGCAGGAGGATGGCAAGTTCCAGGCCAGCCTGGAATACTTGGCAAGACCCTGTCTCAAAAAACAAAACAAAAGGTAAAAAGTGACTTAAAAGATCTGAATTATATTAAATAACAAAGAAAAATAATGTAAAATGTCAGGGTAAGACTGAAAAAAACCTTATTGATTTTAGAACTCCAGTTCTCAATGTCTCTTTTGACATGATAAATCTGCCAAAACTTTTTTAATTAAAAGAGATATAAAGTATTACAGAAACTCAAAAGTGGCCCAAAACTTGGTGGTATATCAATATTAGTTTCCTACACTGGGATGTTGCACACAGCACTGGCACAGGTTACACCAGCTACAACAACGCATTTTGCTTTTTCATGCAATGTTTATCAGAATGCAGTGAGCCAGCAACAACAGAGCGCTAACTTTGAATTTTCTCTTATTTTGCAGAACTGGGGACTGAGCTCAGGGTCTCCAGTCTATTTTTAGAAAGAAAATTAATCACATACAAAATAAACACTTTGTATGAGTAACAATTTACCTACAACACTTCAAAAAAGAGGGGATATGTCAGCTAACAATCACTGCTCTAGAACTTTACCAAGGTTTTAGAAAACGAAACCCTGTTCTACACCTGGAATGTGGCTCGGTGGTAGAGGGCGTGCTTAGCATGTAAGACCCTAGGTTCAATTCCCAGCACCACAAACAAAAAACAACTATTCCTTAGGATGCAATATGTTTAAAACTTGTATTTGCAAAATTTATAAAATATTTAGGAAGCTAATTCTGTTTATATAAGCCAGGTGTTTCTGACACATCTAACTCTTAGTCTGACGTTTTTATTGATGCCCTTCCCTCTATAGAAAATATACATCAACCAAAACTATTTAGGTTATAAGTAATCAAAGTGTGGCATGGAGTATCAAGTTCTAAATGCTATGAAAAGCTGGAAGACTGCATAGAGGGAAGTCTTAGGACAACAGGGTAGCTGTACCCAGAGTGAGTACTTGCTAAAAGGAAACAGCAAACTTTTGGTTAGGACAAACAGCAAAGGAATGCTAATACAATAAATAGTCAAGGTCAATGTGTCAGGACATCACCATCTAATTCCCTTTCTTGGTGTTTCCAATGCAGAAGCTTGAAGCTTTATCCCAGACCTGATGGGATGATGTAAACCAAAGGGAAAGAGGTGCCATTGCGCTATTACACAGAATAAGGATAGGCGAACTTTTTATAAAGGGCCAGACAATAAATGTTTTAGGTTTTAGGTCTCATCATCCAGTTTATTGTTTTTGAGGTCTTTTTTTTAAAGACCTCATTTTACATTTTAAAAATGTAACAACTATTCTTAGCACACAGACTGTATTTAAAAAAAAAAAAGACTATCAAATCAGGACATAGTCTACAGATTCTGATACAAAAGAAAAGCAATCCTCAATGATAAGCCCTCCCAAACACAGCCCTTCTCTTGCAACTTGAACTTCAGATAGAACAAGAAGAGGTTGAAATGACTGCAAGAAGTAATCTAATCTATCCTTCCAAATGGCTGGTGGCTCACAGGAGTTGGTGGGCCCAATAGGAGTTGCTGACACCAGACACCAAATGCATTTTCCTTTCCTTATTCTTCCATTTCTGGGATGCCTAGGCAAATCTGAGGACATCCTTTAAAATAAAACATACTGATGCCTTTACTATTTTCAGAGCATAGAAGTTTATTTTACCAGCTACTTCTCCATATACTCTGTATCATGTTCAAGAAACCCACCCTAAAATAAGAATGAGAAATTATAGTAATTTTTAATTATTTCTAGGCTAGCATGAGGTTTAAAGAGGCTTAGAATTCTGTGCAGTCAGGACAACCACGCTGGCTTCTAAGCAGAAGTTGGAGCAGGTTGTCAGACAGCAGGGGCCAGTGAAGGACACTGGAGATCAGAGGGCCCAAAAGAGCCTGGCCCTGGCTACTCAAGTCCTCCTGTAACATCTAGGTCCACCACACAGTATCTTACAGAGTCCAGTCAGCACTGCCAGTCTATATTAGTTTTTCCTATTACTGCAACATTGAATTGGGAATTACTTTTATGCCACACCTCAGATTAATTACATGTAAATAAAGAACATTCTCCTTTTTCTTCAAATGGTAAAACTAAAGCTTATTAGTACCTGAGATTATAGTTGGTTCCCACAAGCACTTCTGAGTAAAAGCCTACTCTTATTATAAATGAAGACAATTTCTAAACCAAAACAGATATAGTCAGGTACTTAAAAACAAATTTTCCCTCAATTTAGAACTTGAACTTTGATACCCGTTTTTTGTTGTTGTTGTTGGTACTGGGGCTTGAACTCAGGGTCTTGCACAAGCTAGACAGGCACTCTACCACTTGAGCCAAACCCCAGCCTTTTTCACTTTCAGTTATTTTTCAAATGCTGCTTTTGTGCTCAACCTGGCCTGGAACGAGGTCTTCCTATTTATGTTTCCCATGTTGCAGGGATGACAGACACATGCCACTGCAACCAGCTTTTTTATGGGTTGAGATGGAGTCTCATGCACTTTTTGCCCAGGCTGGCCTTGAGCTGCAATCCTCCAGATCTTGACCTCCAAAGTAGCTAGGATTACACATGAGTCACTGTAGCAGAAACCCCTCTGAGAAAATGTTAACCACGCTGTACCAAAAAAACTTAAGTTTCGTGAGTGTCAATTTCAGGTTTGAAAACTGTTGGACCTTTAAATATATACTTATACAACATATAAACCTATAAAATATTTTCAGTGAGAAATCATGTGTCATCCAGCTTGTTTAAGAAAATGGCATCACATACCAATTCCTGAAAACATCACAATTCCAGAGTATAGACTTGCAAAGTTTTTCATTTTATATATGACTTAATGTGCTTTCTTCATCCTGTCCTCTGTCCTCACTTATCAGGTAATAAAAATTTGACTCCTTTGAGATTGAAAACCAAGCATGCTTTCTTTCATTAAAAAAGGTTAAATAGGGAGAAATGACCCAAACATTGTATGCACATATAAATTAAAAAAAAAAAAAAGTTAAATAAAACAGGGCTGGCAGAGTGGCTCAAGCAATAGAAGGCCTGCCCTGAGTTCAAACCCGAATGCTGCCAAAAAAAAAAAAAAAAAAAAAAAAAATCATTTCTTTAATGATTCATAAATGACTCCTACGATCTTCTTTTATTCTACCTCATTTAAAAACTGTTCTTCTTGAAGTTTCAATTTAAAGTCCTCTCTGATTCTTTGCAGCAACTCTGGCTTAAAAATAACATCCAGTGCAGTCATTGCCAGAGCTTTGGCCGCCCGCAAAGTGTAAAACTGAGCTTCTTGTGAACCTAAAAGGTAGAGAAAACAAAACATTTCCACATGTATAAAAATTTTATTAATTTGTCAGGTTACCCCTCAAGATCTAAACCGCCTTTTCCAACTGCCCATCACAATGTAGCATTTTCTGGTGTGATGCTGATGAAATGAGAGGCTAAACTACATAGTCAGAAAGGCAGCTATCACTGGGGATACAGAGAGAGAGAGGGAGGAAGGGAGAGAGAAAAGAGGGAGAGAGCAGAGCACGTGCCAAAATATTCATGTCTAACACTTACCTGCAGCTTCAGTATATTGTTCTGTATGATTCAAGGCATTAGACCCAATGTAAAAATACGGATGAATTCCAGGAACCACAAAAGTAACATTTCCAAAATCAGTAGATCCTTGGAACACACAGAAAAAAGTATATGTGGTTAAATACTTTTGAAGTATTTAATACTGATTATGAGGAAGTCATAACCAGTATCTTGTAGCTGGTTACAGTTCTCTGTGCTGTTACACACAGGGCAGTGAACTTCCTGGACAGTTGTCCACATGCTAGGGCCTTCACTGCCCCACTTCCACCTCCACCAGTATCCACAGCTCTCACAAAGGACTGCCCAGACCTGCCTTGCTCAACCCCATGACTATTCTTACTCATCCTCCAGTAGCACTCCACTGTTAGCTGTTCCCTTCGTCTCTTCTGTGAATTCTGATGGCCCTTCCTCTGTCTCTCCTGAGGTACAGACTTTATCTGACCATAAAATAAGTTACCTGAGACTCAGTTGGACATCCTTTCCACTTCTTACTCATTTTTTTTCAAGCTTTTGTCCAAGCATACTGCTTCAAATTATCAAGAACTCTACTGTATAGCTATCCTTCTCTCAACCAGCAAAAACCCTTGCTCCTTCCTATTATTGCTTATACTCTCTCTACAACAAAATTAGAAATAAGGGCAAGATAGTTTCTGCTGGGTATTGAGGGGGTGGGTGGTAAGGGGGGGGGAGAAATGACCCAAGCCTTGTACACACATATGAATAATAAAAGAAAAAAAAAGAACTGTAAATTTATTCTTAGTCTCTCCTAATCTTCTAAATTTATTGTTTTTTACGACACAGTGAAAACTTTATTCTTTAAGTTCACCTTCTTCTGTTGGGGACTGTAAAATTTGTACTACATAATGACATTAATTAGACAAAGCCTAAGTTTCTAAGTTTATACATCCAATTGCTAACCTGCCTTCTTGGATGTCTTCACATGGATCAAACTTAACATATTCAAAGTCAAATTCATGTGCTTCCTGTTCTTCTGCCCCACCCCACTTATCAACGATACCTCCCAAATACCTCAAAATCTTTTCTCATCACCATCACCAATACCTGTTACCTGATCTATGCTATCAGTGCCTCCTGTCTGAACTAATATAATAGCCTCCTAATTGATCTAACAGCATCTGCTCTATTTACCAATATTTTTTCAGTCTTTTTTTTGTGTGTGTGTTTGTGTGTATGTGTTACTAGGAATTAAACCCAGTACTTCTCTCAAGGATTTCTTTTAAAAATCTTTCTTATGGACTGGAGGTGTGGCTCAAGCAATAGAGTGCCTGCTTTGTAAAAACAAAGCCCTCAGTTCAAACTCCAGCCTCACAAACACACACAAAAAAGTAATAAAAATCTTTCTTTTCCATGTTTACACCCACTCTTTCTATTTTCCTTTAAGGCAACTTTTTAAAAAAAGGACAGTTTTCCTTTGCTACCTCTACTACCTCACCATTCACTGCAGTGGGTAAAGAAGTGACATCTAGCATCTGTCCCACCAGCCTTCAATTATTTCCTTACAGACCAACCTTGAGTTTCTAACTGCCAGTCCAATGAATACCAGACCACACTTACCATAGTACTACAGCATCTGACATGATTCATTCCTCCTTCCTTTCTAGAAATTCTCTACTGTCTTGGCTTCTATGACTTCACTCTCTCCTGATTACCTACTTTCTCTGACCACTCTCTGTCTCCTTCTCTTGATCCTTTCTTTGCCTATTTCCTAAATGTTTCTTCTCCATCTATATACTTGGACAACCATATTTACATGCTTGTCTCAAATTACCTTCCATACACTTACAAATTCTAAATTTCCAACCTAGATGTCTTTGGGGGTTGCAGATTCAACAGGCTACTGAACAGCTCCATGTAGGGATCCTATAAGCAGCCAAATTTAACATGTTAATAATTTATACCCATCCATCCAACTCCAAACTGCTTTTCTCTTAAAGTTCTTATCCCAATGAATGACACTGATCCCCCTCATTTTCATTTTTCAGTCCTTTCAGGTCTATTTCATCAATACTTGTTATCATATTTCAGGAGATAATCTTGAATTTCACAAATGCTATAAGTAACATGCTCATAAAGGGGAAAAACCTAAAATAACCCCAAATATGATTATTTAAGTTCTAATAGCTATCTATTACTCCTCAGAATCTGAAAATGCCTCCCCAGATTACTAAATACTTAGCAACCTGCTTATTGTGATCACCAAGAATGAATTAAAACTCTATTTTCCATCTTAGTAGCTTATTTACTTAGTAACTTAGACGAAGAAGTAGGCTGGTGATTTCTAAAAACAAGTCTGCTAATTTGACATTCTATAGTCACTGAAGAATCCATTAGTTTCTTTCCCCTAACCATTAGTTTGTGAAAATTAAAACATGAGCAGTACCTCTTTACCTCCAAACCATTTAATCAAAGAGGCACTGCATTTCCCTTCCTCAAACAGCTCAATAGATAACAGAACTTAAGTACCTGAAGGGCCATTCAACATTGCATCTTCTGAAATGAACTCTATTCCCAGCCTTTTTCCATTCTCCATATAAGCCTTCCACAGGCTCTTGTTGGGAAGAACATTATAATAATCATGTGTGTCACCTTTAATTTCTACCTAATAAAAAATCAAAGCAAATTTTGAAATCAGTAACTCAAATTCATTAATTTCAAAGTAGTGACAGTTTTCTAACAGAAACATTTTTGAGAAGGGGCACTCTCCCTCCAATGCAAACTCTCTCAAACCTCTTACCTTAAAAAAAAAAAAAGGAGTTGTTTATAAAGGTATTTTTGTTATATACGCATCAAACTGCACAATGGCATCAAACCTTATACTGGCCAGCAAGTGAACTTCAGTTACTTAAAAAGGGTGTGGGGAAACCAAAGAAATTCCCATTTTACTATCATCAACTCCAAGTAATTGTGACGCCAGTGGTCCAAAAATTGCACCCTGATGAACACTGCTCTTGAGTTCATTCTTCAAAAGAAGGAAATTAAGCATCACTGACATTCAACATACAAACTCAAACTGACCCTGACACCACTGCCTGGCCTGAAAGGCACCCTGAGAAAGATAGAAACTTCACAGCAAGAGAGCTGACAATGGTCCTCATGCATTAATTTAAGTGTCTGAAGACACAGAAGCAGTGTATCGGTGCCCAGTTAAGTGGATTTACAGATTTAGTTTTGATTAAATCAGAATGGGCAATGTTCCCTCACATGAAATACCAAACGTTAGCAAAAGCTTGTCATAGCATAGCAGAGTGCACATTTCTTCCATTCTTGGCAACATCTAAGGGAGGAACAATGACAACCCAATGAGTGAGCCAAAATACAATTCAATCATTGAAAGACAACTTATATACAGATTTAAGTCCAAAAATAAACTTTATTTTAAGGGGATATTGTACACTTTGAGATATTAAATAATGATAATAGTTATGTATGCATTTTATAAGTATTTATAGTTATAAATAAGTAAAGGCATAAATGCTTAGTTTTATACTCCCTAAGCAATGGAACTTTTACAGTTATATGTTAAATCTATACCTACCTTTGCTAATGCACGCATAGGAGGATGTGTCCTTGTGCCTACATTTATCCACGTACGTATGTATCTAGTTCTACAACACGAGAGGAGTATTTATATTCTTGTCTTTGCTGACCACGTTCCCTGATTGAGAGCTCTTGCTCTGTCCATTACATACCTGAAAGTACGATCATCCTTCAAAGCTCAATTCAGGTCTACAGTCTTCCATGAAACCTTCCTCTTAACAGCTCCAGACCACTGCTTGCCTTCTTCAGATCCTTCCTGACACCTACCATCCACACTACTCTTAGCATAAGCGCACAGTCTGAGAATTACTTCTACTGTGAAACATTGCTACTATGTGACTAAATCATACATCACTAGACTAAGAAGGGCAGAAAAAATGTACATATGTATAAAGGCTAGGCTCTAAACTCTTCACAAACATTACCTCACTTAACTCTTACAAGTACCGTAAGATACACTATTATCCCTACTCTTCAACTGAGAAAATGGAAGCTCATGGATACTAAATAATGCTCTTAAACGCTACAGAATTAGCAAGACAGAAAGGCACAGGTCAAAATCTTCTCTCTCCAACTAGCCGATGCCCAAGATTATTATTTTATGTAATTCTAAAACTCATCCCACTTTGCGCCACCTGTAATACTTCAATGTTACTGAATCTATAGTTCAAATCAACAAAACATCTTGACTACCACCTGCATCAATTTTAACTTCCATTTCAGCAAGCCATGTATTTATTTATATCACTACTTCACCAAAAATAGCTTCTGCAGATTTTGTCATAAGGTCCTCTTTATAGGAGCTATCTAAAGCAATTCTAAAAGCTTAACTCTGCCAAGAAGGGAGGACATAAATTTGCAAAAAGGCAGGGATTCTAGTACAGCAGTATCCAAATTACTCTAATTATGGTGTTAATAAGATAACCTGTAGTCTTCCCTATTGCAGACAATGAGTAAAATATGTAAGAATTAAAGGCCTTCTTTCACTTATTCAATCAATTCATTCCGCATATTTAAGACACTGCCAGTGAGGACAAGCCTCTGGGAAAGACTCCCCTGCATAGCACCAAAACCAACCAAAACTCATCATTAAATGGAAAAGATGCAAGTTAAGTTTCAATCTAACAATGTAAACAGCCCAGCCCACATATAACTCTGATTATAATTAACTCTGAAAAGTTCTTACTGTGCACCCTGTTGCCAAAGCTGCAGCTCTGAAGCAGTCTTCTGCCTTTTTGGTCAAAACTCGAAGCTCTTTCATTGAGGGTGCACGGAAGTAATAGATTAATTCAGAATAAGAGGGAATGATATTGGGCTTTACACCACCATTTTTTATTATACCTATAAAAGAACCAGATTACTAGAATTGAGCTTGGTGATCATTTAAGCTTAAACACTCCTATAAAGTTTTTCAGCCAATATGTACATAAAGAAAAATAATTTAAACTTATTGCCTTCACTGATACAGATCAAAGATTCTTAAAATGTTGTACAATGCAAGTTTCCATAGAGGTGATATTTCTCATTTAATAGGAAAATAAAAATAACTTCTATATGTACTTTATTCTAAGGAATCTATATAATTTTAACAAATTACTGGGCTGGTGGTATGGCTCAAGTGGTAGAGGGTTTGCCTAGCAATTGTGATGACCTTAGTTCAAATCCCAGTACTTAAAAAATCGTTTGTTATTAAAAGATAACTCCATTTATCTACAATAAATATAACTATCTTCCTATTTACATATAAACATCTTAGTTATCCTGTTAAATGAATTTCTGAAAATTCATTTTAAAAAATTTAAAACATACATACACTACTTCCAATTTTAAAAAAAATACTAAATATCAAGTAATTCTATTGTACTGAAATATCAAGCACCATCTATCATGCAGAGTATCTGAGACTAGTACCATGGACTCTCCAGGCTGGCTTCATTTGCTGTCGTAACACAGACACATTGCTGTAAGCGAGAACGGCAGCATCTAAGGCGTTCACTCCTTCCCAGGGGTAGGCAGCAGCGTGAGACGCTTTTCCATAGTATTTCACAGTCACACTAGGAAACACACACAAATCACTGGAAATTGCTTTCTTTACTATTACTAAAAGTTCTCTACAGTCTGTTGTCCACTAGAAGCTTATCTTTAGTTTGATTACTTACTCATGTTCTGCTACATCCAGTAGATAAGCAGCATCCTCTTGGGATGGATGGGCCATAAAAACAACATCGAGGTTTTTAAAAGCGCCTGCTTCAATTAAATCAATTTTGCCACCACCCTCTTCTTCTGCAGGGGTTCCCAGGACAATTACCTACAAAGAAATACCTGCATCAGAGAAAAAGAATGACAAAAAGTCCTAGTAGGAAAACATCAAACAGGTTCTTTTACATACATATTCACAATCTACAGTGACGTCCTTAAGCTATGAAGAAGGTTTTGTCCTATGATACTTAGACAGTGGGCATAAATATATGGTGCTAAATTAATCACAAAATTTTAATTTACATTGTTATATTAATTTGAGCAAAGTATATGCTAGAGACACTATAGGAAACCTTCCCCATTTTATAACTCATTTTTATTTAATTAATAGCAAAGGCAAAAAGTTGAATACTACATACTTAAGTTCTTCAAACTTTGTTAAGGACATATTTGTTAAAGCTTCTTCATGGCCAAGCCTTTTACTAGGCAAATAATTATTTATAAGCATCTTATTGGTAAGGAACTTTCAAGTGACTTGCTAGTTAGCCTCACAACAACCCTGTGAGGTAGGTGAGTGATCACATGTCATTTTAGGGAGGGTGGTTTTGATGAGTAGAGTGAAGTGGTCTGAACCAGGTCACAGAGCCAGTCTTCAGGCAGAGCTGGATTATCTCAGATGAATGTCCTGACTTTCAGGTCTCAACTCTCATTCCTTACTGAGTTACCTACTTAAAAGAAGTCTTAACTCATTCATCTTTTATGAAGAATATTAGACAAATCTTAATACCATGGTTAGAAACAGCCAACTATTACACAAACTTACTAATTCGATTCCACCAGTTCAACCAGGCAGATTTATTGGTCACCAAACACCTAATTAAACAAAAGAAAACTTTACAGAATAAACATTTCACTTTGATATTTAAGCTTAATTTCTTCAAGCAATTTTAAAAAGCAATGAAAAATTATCTACAAACAACTACTTTACTTTCATGATCATTTTACTTTCATGATCATGTATAAAAGTGCAATGAAATGGGAGGGTGGGGGTCTTGGCTTGCAAAGGGAATCACAACTTCAATTCCATTAAGACAGATAACCTTGCTAACTGAGAAGAAGCATTTGAAATTATTAATTGATGTATTTCTCAAAGTCCAGCTTTCTTCAGAAAAGGTATAAGGCACCCAAACTCTTAAGCTGCTCTTTACCCTTGATCTTTGACTTACTAAATCTAGTGGGTGCTGACTACTCAGAACCTTTCATAGGCCTGGGTTAGAGCTAAATCTCTAGGGTTTTATGCATAGGCAAGGACCATCCTGTTCCCCCAAACAAAAACAAACCCCCAGAGGCACAAGAGAGAAGGTAGCTAGAGGGAAAGTCACAAGAGATGGAACTGTTCAAGGTTTCTTGGGACTGGAGGTGTAGCTCAAGTGGCAGAGCACCTGCTTTGCAAATGCAAAGCCCCGAGTTCAAACCCCAGTCTCACCAAAAAAAAAAAAAAATGTTACTGACAACAACAACAACAAAATGCACTGATGAATATTAAAACATTTGTATTCCCCTTAATCTGAGTGCTGATGATTTAATCTTAATTCACAGAATAAAGAACATACCATCTGGAAAAACAGACCAACACAAGATTACACTTTCCTATGATAAACATAAACGACATCCCCCAGTTGAAAGAGCCAAGATTACTTCTCAGACTTGTGAAATAAAGATTAAGACTTAAGAATGAACTCATCCAGGAAGTAGATGTCTACAGGATTCCTCATTATGCGTACACTTGGTTCCCACTTCTGACATTTGTCTATGCAAACATCAGGTACGCTTCTGACTCCCAGACACAAGTTTATTAAAAGCAGTTGCAGGCTTCCTCCAGAGACCACACAACCTCGCCAGCACGCTGCAGTTGCCTCAGTTTCCAAAACTAACCCGTAACGTCAACCAGTCCTGAGCTGCGTGCAGTGCTAAGGGAAGCTGTTTGCAGGTGCAGCTGGGGAAACAGCTGCAGCGCGTCGGTCCCGCCCTCGGGCTGGGCGAGGCCGCGGCGGCGCGCGGTGCCCCCGGTGCCCGCTCACCTTCACGGGCGGAGGCGGCCGGGACAGGCCCTCCAGGGCCCCGCGCACGCCCAGCGCGGCCGCCGCCCCGACCTCGGCGATAAGGTTGTGGCCGCAGGCGTGGCCGAGGCCGGGCAGCGCGTCGTACTCGCAGAGAAAGCCCAGGTGCAGCGCGGCGCCGTGCGCCCGCGGCCCCGGCGGCTCCCACTCGGCGCGGAAGGCCGTGGGCAGCCCGTAGTGCGGCTGCACCGCCCAGGACGCGACCGGCGGCTCGCGCTCGAAGAAGCGCGTCAGCTCGCCGTGCGCGTGGTGCTCCTCGTAGGCCAGCTCCGGCTCGCTCCAGATGGCGCGGCTCAGGGCGCCCAGCCGCTCGGCCGCCAGGTCGATGCACTCGGCCGCGCGCAGCTTCAGCAGCTCCAGCTCCGGGACGGCCTCGCACACGCCCCGCTCCGCGAGCCGCGGTTCTCCGGGCCCCATCGCGACTCCGACTGTGCGCTGGCTTTGCCGGACACAGCCCGCCGCGTCAACGCACGCGCTCGCACTCGCGCTCGCGCCCGCCGGGCTCCCCGAGATCCGCCCCTCCCCGCCCCCCGCGCGGGCGCGCGCTGTCCCTCTGCGCCCCCGCGCGCACTCGGAGCGGCCCAGAGGGCGGGGCCAGTCTCGTGTTCGGACCTGGGGCAGCAGGCTCCAGAATGCGCTGAACATGGCTTTGAGAAATCCCCCGCTCTTTCCTAGCAATAGGAATAAAAGTGGTCCAAGGTTTTCAGTGCCTAAAAGACAGCGTCGATTTAAATGCTGTACAAAGAACGCTCAACTACAGGCTTGGTGCGCCTCCGGGTTCCCTACTGCCCCTCTTTCTTCTTCCTGCGGCTGGATTATCTCACAGCTGCTAAAAGTAACACCGTTGTCTCCTTACAATAAAAACCAGCGTCTAGAACAGCTCCTGATTATATGAAAAGCTCTCAGTCCGTGTTGTCATGTTACAGTCCATTTGGATGGAGTAGAACTCGGGATTTAAAATGGGCTTTTAAAAAACCAAAACCTCTCAGGAGGCTGAGGCAGGAGGCTTGTGAGTTTGAGGCCAATCTGGGCTACACAGTGAGACCCTGTCTCTAAATAAATAAATAAAAGATTTTTAAAAATTGAAAAATTGGACGGGAACACTCAAGTAGTAGAGTGCTTTCCATAGCAAGCAAAAAGCCCTGAGTTCAAACCTCAGTACCACCAATAATAATAATAATAAATTTAAAAATAACCAAACCCAGAGTTAAAAGATTTATGTTAACAAATATTCATGCTATTTTATTGATTTGAACAGTTGTTTTGAATAATAAATTTTGAACGGGAACACTTTAGTTTCATTTAAATTTTAATTAATGCTGAACTCAAGTAAAATGATATGTACAGCTGATATTCACATTATAACTGGATCTGAAATTACCCAATGAAGAAATTCAATATGTCAGATTCTTGTGTTTCTCCAGAGTGAAGCACAAAGTCTGAAAAGCTGTTATTGATGACATGCCTAATACTAACATTGTGGAGGTTTAACTTCTGAGACTTTCCACATACTAAAAGTGTCTGTCAGTCAAATATCAGTCAGCTTTTGAAAATAAGTGTAAAGGAAGCTAATGTGCCTGAAGACTATAAACTTCTGTTTTTACTACTTTATATGCTAATAATGCCAAAATAAATGTCACATTCAAGCTTGAAAATTCTCTCCATTAACACCCTAACTGAAACTCAGCCCTAAAGACAAAGTGACATTAAATTCCTAGACTCCTTGGCTGTACTTAGTAAACCTTACTCTGGTATACTTCTGACAAAAGTCCTCTCTGTTATCTATGAGATTGAATGGTATAGGGGGTGGGGGCAGGGGGGAGAAATGACCCAAGCCTTGTATGCACATATGAAACATAAAAGAAAAATAAAGAAAGAAAGAATGGTATTGTGCTCAGTGAGTTGGCTAAAAGTCAAGGCCCTGCTAGAGTAAAGACAACAGATGACATTTATCGAGCTCTTACCCTGGGCCAGGCACTGTTCCAAGTGCTTTGCGTGTATTAACACTTTTAATCCTCATCCAACCTATGAGGTTGTTAATGCGATATCTATCTTCACTTTACAGATGAGTGTCCGAGATTGCACATCTACTAAGTATTGATCCAGTGCTGTACAGAAGACAGGATTTAGCCATCACAGTTTATTGCCTGTGTAAAAAGACATACAGATTCATAAATGCATGTATAGCTCATCTATTCACATATACCAGTCACTCAACTTGAATACATTTTGCTGCTGCAGTTCTGCCTGCTGACATCAATGGAACCCATGTTTGTTCTCATCAGGCAGTAATAAACATCCACGGAGAAGGAACACATAAATTTTATATGCAAGCTGCTATTTATATTGCTTGTTAAGAGTTAACATAGCTGTCACTTGAGATGGAGCTCTGCTCCTTGTGTGTACATATGCATATATGTATTAGGTTTCTATTATTGATCAAACTCTGTATTTCTTGTTCATGCTAATTTGTACTCCTGAATTCATTCCTTTAAAAAAAAGTGATAAATTAGAGGGGGGCTGGGGGCTAATGTCACGCCTGTAATCCTAGCAACTCAGAGGCAGAAATCAGGAGGATCAAAGTTTGCAGTCAGCCCCCCAAAATAGGTCCCAAGACCCTATCATGAAAATATCCAACATAAGAAAGGGCTGGTGGAGTGGCTTGAGTGGTAGAGTACCTACCTAGGAACCATGAGGCCTGAGCTCAAACCCTAATACCACCAAAAAAATGTGATAAATTGTCCCTCTTTTGCTTTCCCACTATGCTTCCCAGCACCTAACATCATGTGATCCTGATACAGTATTTCTTTTTGTCAATAAGTATTTGTTGGCTGGTTATTTATTCTTCTTGACTCTAACAACCTAGTTGAGTAATGGTAGTGATTAATCACTAAGTTACTTCCAGACACCGTGGATGTCAATGCCATGCTTCTTCCACAATTCTCAGTGCTTTACTTGGAGTGGTGTGGGGAGCAGGGAGAATGTCTTCTGAAAGCTGGAGTTGGAGGTGTGGTATTCTTGAATCACACTAACTCAGTAATTCTTACTATTGTTTTCATTTCTATCTCTAATGTTTATAGAACTATCTGCCCAATCCGTATGCTGCTGCTAAAGAACATGTAATTATTTTCACTAGGAACAAAAATATACAGGAAAACGCCCTTCCTTTAGCTGGTGCTAGATTTGAAGAAACAGCACAGAATTTAGTATAAAGGTGTTAATTTTCTTACCTTTGATCGGGGTAGGGTAATAGAGATAGTTCTCTTTTAAGGTCTGATTTTTTAAACAGAAAGATGCTTCTTCTCTTGCTGCTCAAAAAACCAGCCACTATCACAACTGGCAATAACTTTGTAATAGGAAATTCACAGCAAGTGAGTGCTTTGGTCAAAAAAGCATAGAAAAAAATTTCCTTTACCATGGAAAAGCAACATTATTCATGGCTGAAATACTAGCCAAATTGTTCAAGATTATATTGTATAATTTTGGCTTTTAGATTTACACCTTCTTTTCACAAGACAACAGACTTTGTATGGTATTTATTCTTCAAACGGGATAAAAATAGTGCTAAAATGACATCCCCAACACACACTGTCAGAGCATGACCTACATGAGAAAAAATATAGATATTTTTGAGAAAGGAGAAAAAAGAATGGATTGAAAAAATCAAGAAAATTAAGGGTAGAAACAAGGGAACTAGAAATACTGGAGTGGTAGCAATAAAAGGAGATAAAATGGTTTGACCTATGGAAAGAGTACAGATATTTCACTGGAAAATAAATAAAGCCTAATAAAACTTTCAAAATATAGAATAAATAAAATGTCTCCCCTCCCAAAAAAAATAAAAAAAAAGAAAATGTCTCCAAAAGTAGATAAGAATTTTGCCTTCTAACTTTTCAGTTAAGCAATATTTAGAACCTAAATGAATTTCTCCAGAATGAAACAGGGACCAGTGCATAATTTGGGGCCAACCATTGCCAGTATGCAGAGCGAGCAGAAAGGTGAATTTTATTTAGGGGTAAAGGGGCACAGAGGAGTTGTGTACATTGCTCAGGAATGCTAACTTTGGGACTGGTGGAGTGGCTCAAGTAGTAAGAGTGCCTGCCTAGCAAGTGTGAGGCTCTGAGTTCAATCCCCAGTACTGCCAAGAAAAAAAAAGAAGAAGAAGAAAGAGAAGAAGGAATGCTACCTTTATCCAGACACTTTGACATATTATCAAGCATGGGAAAGGTAAGATCAGAATTTTTTTCTTTGCTGGGCACTGGTGGCTCATGCCTGTAATCCTAGCTACTCAGGAGTCAGAGATCAGGAGGATGGTGGTTCAAAGAGGTAGTGTGGGAGGCCCTATCTCAAAAATACCCAACACGAAAAAGGGCTGGTGGAGTGGCTCTAGTGATAGAACTCCTGCCTAGCAAGCATGAAGTCCCAAATTCAAATCCGACTACCGCCAAAAATAAATAAAATAAGTAAATAAATAAATAAATAAATAATAATTGATGGCTATGTGGAGGATGAACTGCAAACAGAAGAGACTGTGATAAACTAATAGGTTCCTGCAAAGTCCAAGAATCCCAGAAATACTCCACTGATGAAGGCAGTCTGATTTGATGCCTGACTGAATGTTTGGGAAAGGAGACAGGGCAAAAAAAAGGAAGAAACCTAACTTAGGTTTTAGTGTTAAGAGTTAGGTGGGTGGCAAAGCCATTAAAGATAAAGGGACAGTAGGAGAATGAAAGGCAAGTTGCTTTGGGTTAGCCATTCCAGGAGGAGACTAACAGGCAGTCTAAGGAAAGTGCACTTCTACCTGTCTACAATATAGTGGTTAGACCTAGTGGAGGATTAAATCATCCAGGGAGTGAGTGATTTGGTAGGGAAGAATTAAAGCTGAGGAACTAACCCTGAAGAACAAAAACAAGGGAATGAGCCAAAATGCCTGCCAGACCCACACCCTTGGGTAAGCTCCTATTACAACTTGTTTTCAGATTCTGTTCAGATTTTTTTTTTTAATGACCTACAAAGTGAAGACAGCTGTTTTAAAGCTCTGACCGTCCTGGTACTCAGTGACTTGAGGCTCCCTTTGGCGTCATTCCCTCCTGCCAGTAAGACTAGCTGCTCTGTTTCTCCATCATTCCTGGAAATGAGGACAGCGAGGTTCTCTCAGGGGACAGGCCTCTCTGATGCCCTGATTGTACACGGCAACATTCCAGGGGTATACATAGCTCAGGTTGTGATGGTCAAGAAATTTTCTCTCCTAAGGTTAGGATGAGGGAAACTGGTGGAGAATTTTTATTGGACCCCTCTCCCCACTCATATTGATTTAATATCTACAGCTTGGGTCCACTGCATGGGCCTGAATTGATCTCACAACGCATCACCTTGATCCCCTGCATACTATGGGTAATAACCACCTTTTATAAGGTCATTTTGGTAGTACATTTTTCAAAGTGGCTAGCAGGGATGAATGATATAGGTAGATGGTCACAGGGCACTTAAA